CGTGCACGCTGATCTCACCCTGAGCCGCCTCGTGCGCGCTGATCTCACCCTGAGCCGCCTCGTGCGCGCTGATCTCACCCTGAGCCGCCTCGTGCGCGCTGATCTCACCCTGAGCCGCCTCGTGCGCATGGCCAGCTCCCCTGCTCTGCCGTGAGCGGCTCAGCCTTCACATGCAAACACGCGACTCACACAGCTTTCTCTGAGAAACGCAGCCACCCGCACAGACTTCATATGCAAGCTATGAGAAGAAGCTTCCAGCTGCCGTCTTACGGACTGCAGCATGGATGGATTTTAAAGTGTTACCCCTTTTATAAAGAAAAGACTGAGTTCTTGTGTGTACAATTTACAGGATATGTTCAGAGCAATGCAAAACTTAACTTTTTAAATGCAAGAAGAAAATTCTGGTGGCTTGAACTCTTTCCTTGTTCTTTTCATTTTGTATTATTTATTTAGGTTTTTTCCCCCCATCATAAGCCCCCCCCCGTGGGCAGATGTGCTGTTTCTGAGTTAGAGGGGGTCTGAATATGCATGTGTTCATTCTGTCTGCTGGAAAGCTGACTCGATGTGCTGCATGGGCGGGGTGTGCTGTTACCCTAGAAACACAGGTCACTCCTGGGTGCTATTATCGTGGGATCGGGGGGGCAGGTCTCGTTCTCATTCATGGATGGGGTCCATGCAGGGTGTGCAGAAGCATAGTGTCTCTGTTGCCCATTTGTGCCTTACAGTAAGACACCACGAGAAGCGGTCAGAATGACTGCCCCCCCCCCCCCCCNCAGTAAGACACCACGAGAAGCGGTCAGAATGACTGCCCCCCCCCCCCCCCCTCCCATCCAAGGGTGGGAGTCCCCCCCCACAATCTGCGGCCAGCACCTCAGGTCAACGAGGGAGTCAACTAGTGTTTTTTTCCCGTTTAAAATGTATAGTAAATGGATGTTTACAGAATGGACTTTAAATTTTTAGTGTTTATATTTTTGTATTGTCTATCTCTATAGCCTGTCCTTTGTTGAATGGATTGGGCTGGGCAAGTCATCTCGTACTGTATTGAACCTCTTAGGCAGGTTTGGAGAGAGTCCACTGTAATTTCTTTTTTTTTAATTTGTAACGGAATATTTGTAACGACCTGTTATTCGCGCGTAAACGCGCAGATATTTTAAATGCAGGGAGAAGTTTTAAAAACGATGCACCGGTGTGTGAATGACAACTCAAATACACTTCACACTTATTAATTACTTTTGTTCAAAAATGAGTCTGTTGTTAAAATCCTGAAACAATTTATGTGCAGACAGAATAATAAAGAATGCTTGTGGGTTTTTTAAGCGAAATTTACTCCTTTTGTGATTGTGCTGCGTTTTTGTGTTTTTTTTCCATTGTATGTCACATTTTTCTGTCATCGGCCAGTACTGGTTCGCCACTCTGTGCTAGAGTAATGCGCTCCATATGCCAGATACCCCCCGGAGCGACGTTATAACGTGCTTCTCTAGAAAGAACAAACACACAGCATTTTGTTTGTAATCATTCTCGGTTTATTTGACCCTCTGGTGTCGGTAACGCAGTTCCAGGGGGATTTTTAAACTTGGGTTTCAATTGTGAGATTACGGATTAATTGGAGTATATTCCAAAATACTGTAATGTGGTGTTCCAATGAAACGGTGAAGCGCTCTACCTGGGCAAGTTGAATCCGGCTGTTGAAACACGTTTCTTAGTTTAGGCCACTAGAGGGCAGCACACGATTTCGTCTACTACCATGCAAGTATGTTATCTGTAAACTTAAAAATACACCTCTAATATTTTTATATTGTCTTCTGTCTTCCCCTTTTATGAGTATACGTACTGGTTTACGCCCTGAGCTGGAACATTAGGTTAAATTCTCCAAAGCCTGAATGTGGGACGAAGTTTTAACATTTATGGGTTTAATGATTGATCTTATTTGGCTTAATTATTGTCATTTACACGTTACAGAAACGGGTAGCTTACTGTTTCCCCCCTCTGCTAATGCGGGGGTTCATCGTGGTTTTCAGCCCCTCCTCGCCCTTTCCAGCGTACGTGCTGGACTCGCCGTTTTTTTGTTTTCTCTTGTTTTACACCGCCGGAATGTAACACACACGGTTTCTGTCAGTGTTTTATTTACATCAGATATATTTGCATTTATTTACTTCGTAAGGCATACAAGCGGGACAATTTGAATATTGTTTAAACATTGTGACAAAGATGTATTTGCAAGTTCTTAATCCATGGTAATGTTTTTAAAGATAAAGTATAACACAGTCATTGCAGATTCAAACACCTACTAAAGTCTGGAGTGTTTTTCTTGTACCTTTCTTGCACTTTTGTTATGCTCATTTATCTGATAATGTTTTAGATAAGGCTAGTTCTGTGGACGCAGTTTTTTACACTGTCGCCACATGATTCCTGGCGTATTGATTGATTGATTTTGTCTCCCTGACACGCCCATTGATTGATTGATCAGTCTTGCCTAATTCCCCTTCAATCGAGACAGTGCAAATGCAGCATACACTCCGCTCTCCTATTTCGTGGAAATAAGCAGAGTGTTGCGCCACCTGCTGGCGATCAGAGCTACCGCATGTGAACTTTCCCCCACTTTCCCCCAGTACCGCGCAGACAGTGAGTTGTGTTTGGGGCTTTTCTGCGAGCGGCAGCCCCGTCTCGCGGCCCCTGGCGCCGACCCGCACAGTTTGCAAAGCTTGAAGGTATATTTTGTGTTGTTTTTCTTCTTTTTCAGCTGCTTGCACTTGTGATCCCCTATAGCAGTGCTGGCCAATCTTCCTTCCTCTCCTCCCAACTTTATCTTGCTGTTATGTTTCAATAGCTTTTTTCTTCCTTTTTCTTTTCTAGAACTGATACGCATCAGTTCTGGCAGTTTAAACAGATAAAAAGACATGTCTTCAAAGAACAAACGCTGGACGACAGCAAAGACCTTTGTGAAGACAGCCTCAGACGTCTGCAGTGTGTGTGCGCGCACCCGGCACGATCTCGTTCGCATGTGTGTGAGGGATGACGCGCAAGCCCTTTGCATTCCGTTAGTGGTCTAGATTTAGAGCGTCTGAAGTGGTCGGCCGACCACTGATTCCGTCAGTATGCTCTGCAAAGCTTATTTTCCCTGCTGAAGGTTTAAAGCGGGGGGAAGGGGGGAAGGCATGTAGGCTAGGAGGCACTAAAAGTTATTATGATGAATATTAGCTGCTCCTTTGCTTGCAGAAAGACCTTCTTCTGAGCTTCCTGTTCGCTGGCAGCCTTTGTCATCTCTCTTGCTGGGTAGGATGTTCCGTCCACCCGCAGCGAGCGCCACTGCCCCTCATCCACAGCGGGGCTCGGCTGGGAAGGAAGCCCAGCAAAAAAACTGCTGCCTCAGCAGAGTTTTAACTCCAGTCCCCCACCCCTTGCGCCACCTCCCCTTTTGAGGAATGCTAGAAACTCAGATCAACAGCCGTGAGATGTCCTCTCTCTCTCCCTGTGTTCTTGTCTTTTTCTTCTCCATTGCAGGCCAGCAGGACAGATGCACAGCTCCTTGGCAGCTACCACCCCCCCATTGACCGTGTCCGTCTCCAAAACCGTTGACTGTCCCGACAGGAATAAGCTAAAACTGGCACGTCAGAAACTTGCGGTCATTTAAAACTATTTTTCTCGTAGTAAAAAAACAAGTAAACCACCCAATGCTTTGTGCTGCGGGGAAGATAATGTATCCCCAGTAGGTATATTTGGGCATTTGAGTCGCTCATTGGGGACGATGCGGCTGTATCGCGAGGTAACCGAACACGGCGCTGTTGGATCCTTTCCGTCGGGTACCGGAGCTGCCCGAGCGACCGCGGCCGGTTCCTGTACCCTCACGGCTCCTTGCGCTTCAGCACGTTGCCGGCCAGTTCCCGTCGTGTGACTCTTTTAATCTGTGAGATTAAAGTCATCATCTACATGCTTTCCCCTTAAAGTTCACCTTAAACTCCCTTTCATTAGTTTCCAAATTTCAATCCCCATCTCATTTTGTCCCCCGGCTAATTTTTCTCCTAATTACAGTCTGACAGGAGAGTGGCTCCCGCTATACGCCCGGGCACATTTAAAGGTACGCGGGGCAGCGGCTATGCCGCGATCATACCTTGTTATAACACCCATGAGCTGTTAGCGCCATTAGCTTGCGCTATTTTTGTTAGCCAGTGAATGCGTTGTGACCCGGTCCGGAATAGGCGCTTGTGGAGAATGGATGCGTTTCCCTTAAAATAATCTAATCAGTGGTGGTGGCCAGTGTGTGGTCACAGGAAACATCTGCACTCAAATCAGTGACATAACGCTGAAACTGACTGAAACATTCATGCTGTTTGAAGTTTAACCATCCGAGTCTGTCCTCTGTCCGTGATTATTGTGTCAGTCCAGACCTGTATTTCCATCTAATGAAAGTGGCTTTTTCGATCAACCTAAAGGTGTCATTTCTATGGGGAAAACTCTTATCACAACATGTTGACCTTAACCCCTAACCAGCCCTAACCTTAACCATGGTGACCTGAGAAATGGTCCCCACAATGTAATATAATCTCCCCTCCAACACGACTAGGTCTGTCTCCCTTAGTTCCACAGGGTGCAGCTCCAGTCCATGAAAACAGGCTGAACCGACGAACCTCAGTGGGGTTCAGATTCTGGGTCCAGTGGAGCAGCCCGCCTCCTCGTATCCTCCTGTTAGAGGCATGGTGCATGTTGAAGGGTGAGTGGTATCTGCTCGTCCCCTGGGCTGCTTCAGGACCACGTGTTTCTCTTAATCGCTTGTGGACTGCTGATCTACCTGGGGCTCAGATGGAGAGTCTGAGACCTGCCAAAAAACTGAAGGATATGCTCCCCAGCTGCTTTCCAGTGGGTTAGAGAGTAATCCAGGCTGACACACACACACACACACACGCATGTCGGGTAAACATATCTTTATGGGGACCGCTCATTGATTTCTATGGGAAAAATGCTAACGCTAACTATGACAACCTTAACCCCTACCCAGCCCTAACCATAACCATAAGTAACCTAACAAAATACAAGAGTTTTGGCATTTTTAGTTTTTTCATTGCAGTCACAGATTTTTATTAAATTGAGTTATATAAGGTATACCCGCTCTCACACACACACACACACACACGCTTTATCAAACACTGTGTTTCTCCTCATGCCCACGTTGCTAACTTGTTTGTACTGGTTTACTTGCCACTGGGTTATGTTATTCTCGTGTCCCACCCATGCCATCATCCTAATTGGTCCAATTAGCCGTCCTTTATGCCTGTGGGCTGTGGGAATGTGCAGCCTTCACTTACTGGGAGAAATGAATGCTCAGCTAAAGGTGCCCATAGGAGCAGCGCTTACAGGAGCACGGCATTCTGGGACCCAGTCTGGAAACAGCTGTCTAGAGCTGT